GTATACTGTTTCCGGTCTATGTTCTTCTATGTCTATGTTCTAGAGACTTCTTGCTCTTCACTTCAGGCGAGACGGAGACGCATCGGTTCCATGAAGCTGGTGCGCCCTTTGCAGCCCAAGCATTGGTCGACGCGTTCGGCACCTGCGTGCCAATGCCAGCCATGCCGGTCCGGGTGCTAATCGGCCGTGGCGTTGGAGCGCTGCCAAGCACACTGCCGCGGCGAAACACAGGGGGTGGCGCCTCGCTGGAAAGTGTAGTCGTTATTTCTGTCCTTCCGTCACCAGTCCTCTTGACCGTCCGCCAACTGGGCGGCACTGCGCGGCACTGCGCGGCCATTTCGGACGTTCGGACGCACTGCTCGAGCTTCTGGCCACTGCCGCCGTGGTCTGCGGCGTCGTCGCGCCACGGCTGCACGGCTGCGCTGCCCGCAAACTGAGGCGCACACGGACCGACCGAAAATTCCTGCCCCCTAACGGACTGCCGCGAAACCGCCACGTCGCCCCCTCGCAGAGCCCGTGCAGAGCGGTCGTCGCCATCGAACGCTAAACGCTCTCGACATCGCCGAAGTCGTTTGAAACCGACTGACCGAAATCGCGGCCAAGCCATCGGCAAGCCGCGGCGCACCCCGAGCGGCTTGCCCCTAAACCCTTTGGCCGCACCCCGGCCCATCTCGGCGGCGAATCTCGGCGGCGGCCCCGCGGACCGCGGAGCACCGCGGAGCGGACCACCGCGAGGGCACTGTGGGCTTGGCCGCTTCGTCGAATCCGCGGGTTATACAAGCCTCTTGGCACTAGTTCAACGGGCCCGGCGGCCGCGGCGGCCGTAGCGCGATTTTGGCGGGCTAATCTCCAAACCGCATCGGAAACACACAAAGGAGACACTCCGACACTCATATTCGAATTAGCATCTTCTCCTCTCTGACCTTTCTCGGATCCGATGCCGGCGCGACCGCACCGCACCGCCACGCCGCCGAGAAAAACAACGCGTCAATCAGAGTCCGGAGACATCCGAAGGGTCGCGGGCGGACCAGTGGCGGCCCCCCCACGAGTTGGGCACAATTAGTTGTCGCACCTGACGATGCGACAACACAAGCAACACGTAATCCCCTGCACAACGCCCGCCGCGCTAAGCCGCAGCCCGCACTCCGCAGCCCCAGCCGCCCCGGCCCGGCCTTCGCCAACACCCTGTAGCCGAAAGCCCCGAACGCCGGGCCGCGGCCAGGGCCGAGTGGAGTGCGTAATTTGAGGAGTAGAGCGAGAAAGATGGCTTTCGTTCGGAACGCCTTTTAGTGCCCCATTTTATGGCTGGAAAAATAAGGAACAGGACGGCGAGGCCGGGGAGGGCAGCCTCAAGGGCGCGGAGGGCGGAAGGCGAGGCTGTCGCTCCGTCTCTCTCGCGTTCCTGGGGCGCTACGTTGCAGTGCGAGAGAGACAAGCAACGAAAAGCCGTCTTCGGAATCAGTCCCCGCTGGCGGTGGCGGGCCCGGCGAACAGCGGCACCGGGCTTCAGGGAGGAAACGCAAGAAAACGGTCTGTCTGAGTGGCAGTCCCCAGCCACCCTTTGACTTTGACAAGTCGACGCTGAGGACGACGCCGGGGCAGGGGCAGGGACTCCCCCGACGACGCCCCCGGGCCCAACCCCCCGCCGCCGCCGCCCCAGTGTTGAGATTGCGTCGGGCTGCACATTTGAATGAATATTTTCCTCGTCGTCGACCCCACAAGAGACAGGGGCCAGAAAGAGAGAGAAGAGGAACCCTCAGGAACCCCCTGCACCGCCCCTCCTTCCCCCAGCGCCCCCGGCCAGCCAGCCTGGCGACAAGCAGTCTGGCGGCGCGGCCGAGCTGGCTGGGCTGCCTGGGCTGCTCGTCGTCGCCTGGTTCGGCTCGCCACGGCCCGGCTGTGCAGGCCGGGGCCCAAGTCGGCGTGGCGCGGCGGGGTCCGGGCGTGGCATGGGCCAGGCATGGCCTGGACGCTGCCAGACCCACGCCACTGCATGCAGCCCGGACGCCAGATACGTCCACGACGGCCACGGCGAGGCGGCCGACAAAAACTGGACTCAACGCCGCTGCCGCCGCCGCGATGGGCTTGGCATGGGCTATAACTTACAGGTCGCCTCGCGTCCACGTCAGACAACGGCGGCCGCCGCGGCGCGGGGGTCCCCTCCGGACCAATCCGCTCGGTGCAGGGAGTGTTCCAAACACGTTCCGAGTGCAAAATGGGGCGCGCCAAAAGGTTGCAAAATTTTGGGAGCCGCAGAGCAGGCCGGGACTTTGGGCACTGCGTGCTTCACGTGCTTCGCGCTTCGCGGCGGCGGGGAGTGGCCGCCGACGCACTCTGCGTCCATCCAGTGGCCCTGCAGTGGCCGCGGCTGGCTGCTCGCTGCTTCTCCAGCTTCTCCAGCATCCCAGCGGACCGAGCGGCCGAGCCGTGCGGCTATCTGGCTTCAGACCACGTTCCACGTTCCAGCGGCAGCTCGCCCGGCTCTCCAGCAGCTCAGCTCGCGGGTGTGGGGGGGCTGCCCCCCCGGCCTGGCCGCCCTGGCCGCCCTGGCACCGGGAGGCCCTAAAGCCCAGACTGCCCCGCCGCGCTCCGCGCTCCGCCACGCCCACTCCACCCCGCATTCGACACCTTGCCGATCGCCGCGCCGCCGCGCCACGTAGGGCACCGCGCAAAGCCCTTTGTGGGGACCGTCACGCAGCGACCACCGCTCTCTCGCACTCGTCGGCCCAGCCTACGAGTGCGAGGGAGACGGAGTGACGAAAGCACAGTTCGGAACCGAGCGGCGGGGGTTGGAGCAGCATTACTTGGGATCTCCATCCTGCAGGATGCGGGCGGCATGGCGGGCCTTCGCTTTGCACAAAAGGGACGCCCGCCCCTCGCATAAGGACGGGCCCTGAGCGCTTTCCGAGGCCCCGGACTCGCCGACGAAAACGTGAGGAGCTGACGGTGCACAATGTTAACTTCTGTGTGTGTGTGTGTGCGTTGTGTGCGAGTGAGTTTGTGTGCGTGCGTGAAGGAAATAGAAACTGGCCCCGCACAGAACGATGCTATATACCTGCCGCCAAAGGTGCATCGCATTACAATAAGCACACATGCAAAATTCGACACACACACCTCAAAGGCCTTCTCGAGATGGACAGGTGCCTATAATGTTAATGTAAGCACATCTTGCTGACAATTTCCCATGCACTCTACCTTCCAATTTCCCTGCACGAAACAACGGTTACACCAGACGAAAACGCAAACCCCCGCGGACGCGTACTCGTACGCACAGTGGCGGCGGGCGGAAAGGATTTGTTTTATTTTTTCAGCGACGACTAATCTGTTAGCGGAAGGCGGGCATCTATAACAAACAAAGCGGGAGGGGGGAGCAGGGGGAACTAAGCGCACAGGCGCATGCAGGGCCTTGTTAGGGCACGAGGCAGCCTGTCCTCGTCGCTCCCGCAGCCCAGAGGCGAGGCCAGCCCAGCCCGCTGCTGTGCCCTCGCCTCGGCCCTCGCTGCCATGCCGCCCCGCACGCCCACCCCGCGCCAGCTCTCGGCGACAAGCAGAGCGCTCCAGTGATAACAGGCGCCTTCCGGCCCGGCCGACTGAGTCCCCCCCCCCCCCCCCGCGCATCGCCAAGTGGCGCCACATCCGGTCAACGTGCTGACCGGGACGGGGGCTGGCCCCGCGGGGCCGCGGCTCTGGTTAAGCCCCCCCCCCCTCCAAGAAGGACCAAACGGGCCGGCGCGGCCATCCTTGAATCGACTCCGACGGCTGGGTGCGAATTCGGCCGCAGCCAACGCGTGCGCTGATTGGCCGGCCAGTCGCCGGACACGGCGTGACAGCTCGCGAGGGAGAGGACTGGTGGCCCCGCCGGCCGCCAAGCCGCCAAGACATCCCGGGCGGTCCCTGGCGTCGCGACGGCGGGGAAAATAGGAACGATAACCGATGGATGCGAAAACCAGGATGACGGTCCCGAGAAGTTCAAGGTTCAACTTTCGGCATCGAATCTGGCCGAAGGGCCAGTACCCCGTGGCCACAACCCTACAGCCCAATGGAACGCGTCCAGCGGGCCAATGATTTTGCATCGTCGTTTCCTTGCTCCAGACCGTCATGGTTCCACATGGGCCCACTCGTCTCTGGGCCTCGCGTCTCACGGCGGACCTCAGGCTCGGGCCTCGCACACGTCCAAGCACGATGGGTTGCCTATCCCCACGGCGCTACGCTCACTTGACCTGGCTTTTTGAGCGTGTGGGAGACGTGTCCTGGAAGAGTCGTTCACCACACAAGTCACCAAAGAACAAACCAAACACCATCTTGGGTTTCAGCTCCTTCGACTCCAATTATGAAATATTATATACATACTAGCTGTAATTGCAGAAAGGGGGCAAATTACGAGGCTTTGTTTCTATCTATGGTGAAGGCTCTCGTTGGCAATTGAGGCACAAATAACCATGGTAGGCGACGAGCATGGCACCGTAAAGCGCTTTATTTCTCCGGCCAAAAATGACACATCACTTCACAAAAATCCGCGGACCGCTGTGCGAGAACCAGGTGGTTTAGCGATTCGCCGAGAGGTGGCAGCACGTCACCAAAAGCTACCACCGTAGTGCGTAAGCCTCAGTGGCGCCAGTTTCAAAATCAGCGGGTCGATTGTTTAGGACTTCCAGATTACCAGGTGCGATGAAATTTGCCCCTTCCATAGAGAGCTAGGAATACACAATAATATTGAGCCCATATCGTCAAAACTATCGGCTCAACAATAATGTTGATGTACCGAAGAAAGCGGGTAGCCTCACTTCGTTTCCTCGTCTGTGTGTGCGAGGTGCAGAGTCAGAAAATGAGCCACGACAACTGTCGTTAATAAATTATTTTGGGGTGTACTCGATGGAATGCACGTACAGATGTGATGCAAATCCAAAACATAACCTAAACAAACGTCACTGGAGTGCTTCCATATGAGTAACTTGCTAAATTTGTAGTCTTCTTGGGCAATAAAATAAAGTCACACTCACCCGCTTATGTTCTTCCGTTGAAGGAGTATCTCGAGAAGACTATTGACAATTACGTGTTAACAGAAACCTACTTTTTCTTTCAAGAAATCAAATCCGTTCAACCATTCAAGCTCAAATAATGTGGCAACACTGCTGATAGCAGACGATATCCCGGCATCTAATTATACTTTGACTTTACGGTTGAAAAGGACAACAGATAATATTTTTAAAAAATCTGAAAAGGAAAATTATGGTGCTCCAGCTGGGTTTCTTTAACCGCTTTCTTTACAATTTTTGAAAAGAAGTCTAGCCAGGCAAAATACGTTGGTAGCATTTGTTTTTGTTGTTGTGATCGTAACCTTCAAAACTTAAGCTGCTCCGTCTGCTACTTGTCATGTTTTAGTACTGTCTTTCCCTTTCGGTAAACCAACGCTGACGTATCGTAATTATTCTTTATTCGCAAAAATTTTTTACGAGTGTTTGTGACAAGTCAAGACAATGACTGAGCTTGAAGATTTAAACTTGGCCCGTCTACGACTGGTTGAAGCTTTAGGTGATCAATCTCCGAGGTAAATGTTTCATCAATTCAAGAGCAAAGCTGGAAAATATCTATTCTATATCAAGGTCTTAAATTAAAACTTTGCTTTCCAGATATTTTGAAAGAATGAAACAGTGGTTCAAAATGAAGGTAAGAATTTACTTCTCTTAATTTGTTTCCAGTGCACATTATTTTGTTGTGTGTATTATTTTGCGTTTCTCTCATTTAGATTTCCAAAGAAGAATTTGATTTAGAATCTCGCAAGCAGTTATCAAAAGAACAGATTCACCTACACAATCAATTCTTGTTGTGTTTATTTGACAAATGTCAAGGGTTAGCAAACATGTCCCGCTCTAAAGCCATAGGAACTCAGGCAACATTCCCTTCTGCTCCTTTACTTGTAGAGTCTGACTCTGCCATGTCTCCCACTGATAGTGCAAAACGGACTAAATTGGGCAAAAAGAGGCATCACTCTGAGCGAACAGGATTTGAGGTAAGTGCTGTGTTTATTTGCATTTCTGTCACTCGTGCAGGTTTTATGACTGTTGCACTTCCACCTATTTCAGCCAGTGGAAGTAGTGGATTATCTTCCATCCTTGCGACCTCCCTCTTATCAACCCACTGATGAGCCTCAGAGGAATTGTGCTTATGAGCTGTTTTTACCTGACCAAGCTTTCCTAATGGGTCGCCTAATGCTAGCAGCTTGGGAAAGTGGCTTAGAGGGAGCCAATGACTCAGCTGCAGATTTTCTTGTTTGTGCAGTACAGGTAATTGATGGTGACAAAAATTAATACCTTTCTTTAGGAAATTTTTATTGATAAAATTAATGTTTTCTTTATTACTGCATTCCAGCATTTTTTAAAGACAATAATAGTTGCAGTAGTCAGTCAAAGAAGTAGTTTTAAAACAAATGCAAAGCACTTCATACACGGCATGGGATCCCCAGTACCCAACCCCTGGCTGAGAAATACAGCCCACATCACTGCTCCAGATGGGTAGGTGATTCTTGCATTTTTCCAGTTTCATTCCTTCCAAAACCATGCCTGATCTTACCCTCTTTTATTTACAACTTTTTTAGACCAACAGAGGTTTTAGCTATGCATGAAGACACAATTGATTTCTGGGGAGTCAAAAGAGAGGAAGATAGCAACGATCCAGTCCATTTGATGAGGTTGCGAGAATCTTACGACGAGGCTGAAGATCGCAAAGCTCTTGAAGCTGCATGCAGTTCTCAAAATACTAGATATGTTGGTCCCCCAATTACGGCTTGGAATCTCTTAAGTGCTTTACAGGTAAGCAGGCATTCTTAATATACTGGAATTTATAATGCATGTCAGACTAGTTTTGATCATCATTACTCTTTTTCAGACTCACAGGAGTTCTGTTATGTCTCAAACAGTATATTCGATAAATGTAGAACGAATTTTAACCAAACTAAACCATCCTAGCTGGGATGATGAGGAAGCAGCTTTAGCTAGGAGTGGTTGTAGTACATCTATTTAAATTCATGTTGCAGGTTTTATCAATACCTATAATTTCTTTACTGTCTATGGTTTCAGACATTTAATCATACAGGTCTTGTGTCTATAACAATATTGTTGGTTACTACCATAATAATAATATAATTCATCCATTAATTAATTTGTAAAATAATTTATACAGAAGAGCCTTTCCATAACATAAAATCACAGATCTGTTCATCGGAAAAGATGATGTATAAAGACATGTAAGCAACACAAATTTGATTGAAAGCAAAAAATAAAGGTTGAGAATGTAAAATTGTCATGTAGTGGCAAGTAAAATCAAATATTGGCATTCTGACAAGGAACCCCAAACATAAATTGGCAAATAAAATTTCATTAAATCATGTCTCAATACATCACATACAAAGAAAGCAAAATCTAAATCAAAGTTTCCTAATACATAAGTACAAAAGAAATAAATTGTGATGCTTAAACAAAAGAGTACAGTACAAATATGTAGGTAATGAAACTGCTCATCACAAATTTCAAAACTGTACATCATACATCTTAAAAGGATGTGAATTTTTTACCATAATGGTAAGCTGTAACTTTAGCTGAAACTCTCTTGCATCCTGTTACAGAGTACAAATGTACATCATCAGGCATAAATGTCATTTCTTCCAATATCAACCTGTCAAAATTAGAAAAGGGAAATATTGTCAAGAAAATATCATAGCACTTCTTCAAACAAAACTGTTATGTTATGTATGTCACACAATATTTTTCTGAGAAGGGTTGGCAGGATAAAATTGATATGTTGTGAACTGATTACATTTGCAGTTTGACTCAGAAAAGAAGAGCAGTTAGAAAAGAAAAACAGAAAAGCATGAAACAGGGGTGATCATGACACGGGACGGGGCTTCAAAGCAATAGGGTACTTACTCTGCTGCACCTGGGGGCGAAGTGGGGTAACCCAACTTTAAAAATTCATCATGTATGCATTTTCGGACATGCTTCTCTTCCAGTGGGAGAAATGGTATGTAGTGGTCAATGAGACTTGTTGTTATTGTCTCACTTTTGAAAAGACCACCTGAAATTTTGGGATAAAATTTTATTGATTGTAAGAGACAACTATTTTACAGAAGGGGGATACCGTTGTGTTCAAAAGCACCTTCTTCATTGAATGCTCCTTGTCTTATCATAGTCTCAAAATCGTGAAGTTTGATTATGTCTTCACGTTGTGTTCCTTTACTCCATAGTTCTAGGGTTTTTTGGTTGATGTAAGAAGCGCCTGTGTTTGAAAGGAACAAAAAGATAGACTTCCTGAAAAAATAAAAGCAGATATAAATCAGATATAAAAACATTGCACACTTAAAAATAAAACTTCTTTTCCCACAGTCTTACCTATAATCAACTCCATCTATGTCTGTGTGATAATCAATGAAGGGAACAACAGCATCTAAAACACTTGGAGGCATCTTTTGGACATCTTCAAATATAAAAAGTGATCTTTCACACTTCTCGACAGTTTTCTGGATTTCTTTAGAAATTTTTAACTGGAAGATATAAAAATACAGTACAAGCATTAATCCACAAGGAAAATAATACAAAAATCATGAAAGTTAATTACGATACCTACTTTATATACAGCTCCTCTTGAGGCATCAGGAAAGTCTGTACCAGCAACAAACTTTTTTACATATTGGCTTTTCATGCCCCTTACATACAAGGATTGAGCTATGAAATCACTAACATAAGACTTTCCACAACCAGGTGTACCATGAAAACTCAACACTAGGGCTTTCTTTGGATCTGAGGCTAACATGTGCCCCCTCAATGCTCTCAAAACAATATCTTGCATTAGATGTTGCCCGTACACATTTCTCCTGAGTACATCTTCTAAAACTGGTAAACAAAAATAATGATTTGATAATAAGCCAGCCCCAGCAAAAACACATAAATGACTAAACGCTTATTAAAGATGGATTCAGGTTTGATAATAAGTTACCAGATATATTTTTTGCATTAGTGCTGATTGAATGTAGATCACAACATTCCATTACTCTGCAATGCGTTTTATCGGCATAGCCCCAAAGAGCTGAAACCGCAGCAACAATACCAGCAGTAACTGTAACAGGTTCTATAGCATATGAGACACCCACATTACATGCCACTAAGAACCAAACAGAAATAGATGCTTTCATTTTTCTTGAACTATGCAGAGTTAGCTACCTGAAAGAAAAACAAACCAATCAGGTTTATAATATAAGAATTACTGGTGATTATTATTGTTGACAAATAAGAGGTGGGGCAGGACATGAGCAAATAGTAGAATCCAAAATTAGCGACAAAGTATGTCTCATGATGTATGGCCAAATGAAACAGAACAGTTAGGACACAACCCTTGACTAACCTATCAAACTTCTTTTAGTTCGCATCAATAAAACAAACGACAACTAGAGAAAAATAAGGAAACTGAAATGAAAGTTGCGGGGAATGGGGTGTCATGTGTAACACATGAAAAATCGAAACCTACGTTTCTTGCACCAAATTAAAACATGATGCAAAATCCAAGTTGGGTTTGGTTTCGCAGCTGGAATAGCAGACAGCGCGCGCCACCAACTACCGGGCAGTGCCCCCTTGATTCCTTATAATTTGTTTATATTTCAATAGGAACTCAACAAATCGTTCAATTGCCTTGAAATCTAATTATAAACTGTAGGAACGATTATTTTTCCAATTTACACTAAAGAGGGGTGCGACTAATCACGAGATATTGCAAATATTATTGCCACGGTTTGTCATAACCCTGGCCTTGTAGTAAACCGCCAGAGCACGCCATGAAAAGTGAAGCGAGAAAAGGCGGAATAGGCTTATCTTTGAAGCCAAGGTGTTTCGAATTGAATTTCGAAAGCCTGGAAACAGTTTAATGTTTTGATTTGTTCACGCTCATCTCTTATTTTCGTTCAAATCGCGTACGCCTTCTGTTTGAAGCCGTTTTGAACTAGGAACAACACCAACCATGAGTTTTGGAGGTGATGTATTTCGGAATTACTTGGGGATTTTAGTGTACCTAATGCTGTACTTTGCTTTCGTGTGTATGGTTGAATAACAACACACCAGCTTCGCTTAAGAAAATTTTCGCATTGCTTAAGATATATTGTTTTGTGATTTATACTCATCTTTGAATGAATGTACTCAACTCTAACCTTTTATTAGCAGAGTGTGGTTTTGCTAACCTGGTGCTTAAATCAGCATTTTTGTTTCTTGAAAATCTGTTTCCTATGTTATGCCATTGATGGAGTTTCTTGTTTTATTGCTTTTACTTTCCCACACTTTTTGTCTTATTTCTCTCTTAAGTCCTCTTTAGCTTCATCACTACCTATTCCTTGCAATTTCATATTGGCAATCACCTTATGAAATTCTGTACTTCTGTGATGAATTAATCAACAATTTAAATTTAGAATTATATCCAGTAGTTTAATTTTTTATCTCATCTTTGCAGGTTCAGCATTCAAAAACGGCACAATGCCTGAAATCAAGCAGGAACCAATCGAAGCTGATATTAAAGTGGAAATTGATTCTGACGATGATTGCAACATGATGTTGGGGCCCAGTGTGTTAGGTCTCCTTCGTGTGGGAGAGTCCCCTGTCCAAAGCCCCCAGAAAAATCCAGTGGTTTTGAATCGTAGAGGAATAGTGAGTTACATGGCTGAATTATCTACATTCTGTGTTTTTTTATGTTGATATTCTGTAACATTCTGTCAATTTTCTTTTTTTCTTTTAGCCTGCAAGAATCCGTAAGAAAAACAGGTTGTTTTATGACGATGACATCGTAAACACACTTTCAAAACCGTCTCCGAAGAGAGCTACTGTACCACGGTCTCCTAAGAAACCAGAAAAAAAGGCTCCCAAACCTAAGGAAACACCGGCTCCCCGTCACCAGGAACCACCACCACCTCCTCCTCCTCCCCCTGTCCAACCAGCATCAACACCAAAGGCTTCAGTTAGCAAAGCTATACCTGAACCTGCTGAAACCCAAACCTCACCAGATAGGCGTCTTGGTCAGAAAATTGGAATGCGCTTAAGAAACTTGCTTAAGCTTCCTAAAGCCCACAAGTGGGTTTGTTACGAATGGTTTTACAGCAACATTGACAAGTAAGATTTGAATACTCAGTTTGAATCATGCTGATTTATTTTTGTTCTGTTCTTAAACAATATTTTAAACTTGTCCAACCTGCTCAGGACCTTGTTTGAAGGGGATAATGATTTTATGGTTTGTCTGCGAGAGTCATTTCCACAACTTCGTACTCGCAAATTAACTCGAGTAGAATGGTGTCAAATGAGACGTATGATGGGAAAACCAAGGAGATGCTCTGTTGTAAGCCCAAGTTTATGTTCTAATTTTACGGCTTTGTATTGAATTATGTTTTAATATTCTGGATTTTCTGTCAGGCCTTCTTTGAAGAAGAGAGACGTGAACTTGAGCAAAAGCGTACTAAAATAAGGCTTCTGCAGCAACGAAAATTGACTGACCTCTCTTCATGCCGGGACCTTCCTGACGAAATACCATTACAGTTGGTAATAGGTACAAGAGTCACAGCACGCCTACGTAAACCTCAAGATGGTCTCTTCACAGGCTCCATTGATGCTGTTGACACTTCCAACAATACGTACCGAATAACCTTTGAGAGGCCTGGACTAGGTACTCATTCGGTGCCAGATTATGAGGTGTTGGTAGGTTTCTTTCAGTATTTGTAATCTTACATTTATGATACCTGTGCAGCTACCCACAATTTTTAGAATACTTTTTTATATTTTGTTATTTTCTTTGTACCCAGTCCACTGAAGCTCCAGAGACCATTTCTCTGAGCAGTTTCGCTTCTAAGTTCAGACCACGTCCATCCCTTCAAACCAGTACTCCAATGAGTGCCAACATCAGCAGCATTCTGAACTCTGGTCTGCTTGGAGGTGATTCCAGCGGTCACCGCTCAGGCATGAGTGGTCTTCCAGGGAAGCTGCTGGATACTTTGGTAAATAAAATTTTCCGATTGTCATTTGAATTTATGGAAATGAGTGAAAGTTCTTAGTAATTTTGCTATTTTCTTTTCTCTTTTTCTGTTTACTGCAGGTCAGACTACAAAAGATTTTGAACATAAAGAAGGGAAAAATAAAAGTTCTTAGGAACTTAAATGCTGATGCTGAGAGGAAAAAGTCCTTTGGAGAACCGATAACTGAACTTTTCCAGAAACAATATGCTTCAGCAGTTATTGATTTAGAAAGACTGAATGCTGATCTTCAACGTTATTTGACTTCAATGCAGGCGTTATGCTTCGAAGTAAGTTACCCCCCAAAATTTCACCCATGTTGCCTTTGAAAGTTCAATTTGAAATCAGAAATTAACTTAGGCTTGTTTTTGTCTGTAGATTGCTCCAGATCCCAATACTGCCGCTCTGTTCACGCCATCACATCTGAGAGACAGAAGCCGAGAAGATGCAAGGCAAATGCTTGATAAATGCCGTGGCACAGTCCACAATGAGAAAATGTTTGACCTTATCACTGACCTCACTGCTTTGATGCTTCAAGTTAAGGTAATGATTTAGCCTGTCTTGTGTTCTTGGTCTATCTGGTCAATGTGATTTTAAAAATTCATTCTCCTTTTTTTGCAGTCTGTCAATGTTCAGAGTTTATCAGAGGGGGACCATAGCCCTTATGAATTGAAAGTTGTCCAAGGTTCAATGGAACAAATAAGGTCAAGACTTAGTCCAGCCAACCAACAACTTTTTCAGAACTGTGTGGAAATCCATTTGCAGCATATTCAGATGGGCCTTGGACAAAGAGGTGCATTCACCCCATTTATGAGTCAGCGAGCCTAGTGCAGGATGTTGATTTAAGGGGTATTTGAACCAGGCAAATTTTTATGTAATCTTACATCTGCATGCCATGTACATTGTCCAAATTGTTTGCTGTGAGATTCTTCTGGGTTGAGTCAAGACTTTCATGAACCTCATGAAACCTCATGACATGGTTGTCTGTGTGTTGTGCTATATTTTATTTGCTGGGTTCAGTTGGAAATTATTCTTCTCAGATGTTGTGTGGTGTTTGCTTTATTTGTTGTTAGTCATTAAAAGAATAATTTTAGGATCATTAGAAGTTAGTTGGATCATATGTCAAGAGTGTCATTGACTCTACATGTTACTTGGGAATGATTTGTTTAATTGTGTGTTGCAATGCAATTTTACTTATGATATGTGTTCATTATCATCAGCACACTGCACCTTGCATATGAACTGTTCATTGAAAATATTTCTGAAATTATCTACTGTGAATTACCTTCTTGTTATGTTCTTCCCAATTATGTTGATCATCCAACATAAAATGTATAAAAATCTATTGGGCTTCACTGTTTTTACTGGATGTGTCCCATGTCCTGTGGAATTTTATCTTCTACTCTCATGGAAACCCTACCTTTCAGATGTTGACTTCAAAAAGGCTGTGAAGCTGCAGGCTTAACAGAATTTGTGGAAAAGGGACATCATTTTTCACATTCTGTTTAGGAGCCTTTATTGTAAATCTTGTATAGCAAATGAATATTGTTATTTATTTATTTTTAATGAATATTTGAACATTTTATTACGCTGATTTCTCATGACAGGAGGTAATTTGTTAACAGTATTTGAACAAGTCTAAGTTGAAGTTTATTGTAATTACTATAGAAAATTTTGTACATAAACAATTTATCATGTGTTTTGGTTCAAAGATATTTTAGTTTGTTCTCTTAAGATGATTTATTAAGGAGGCAAGCCAGATTAACATCAAACTTCATGCATTGCCAAGAATTTTATTCTTACTGCGTTACTATATAGACCTATGCATTAAACTATTTGGGTGCTTCATGTATATATGGTAAGCTATCTACGTACTCCCTTTTAAAACAAATAAAATAATTCAGCAAACATATCCTTCTTTCTTTCTTTCTTTCATTCTTCAAAACTCCGGGGCAAGCTCATCACTCACAAGGGTGAGGATCCTGCTGCTTTTTATAGATAAAATTTTAGGAAAATTGTGTGAGTAGGAGTGTTGTTTATCAAGGACAAACTGGAGGGACAGGGACCACGAACAAGATAACCAATAAGCTGTGTAAATAACCTTGTTCCTGATGCAGTAAATTTCCATCTGCTGAAGAACAAGTTACAGCAGTTTAAGTTAAATCCAGCAGGCAAGGAACTTCTATACATTCAACACTCAACTTCATAAGCGTAAGAAAAGAAGAAAAAAAGCCTTTAGGTGCAAAAAATAAACAATGTTCAGAAGGTGAGTGTAAGATGGAGTTTTTATTCACAATACTTGTCTGCTGCACTTTTTAAAATATTAAAAATTCCATAGAGCTAATTAATCACAGAGATGTGTCAAGAAACAACAGTAAAGAAAAAAGATTCAAAAGAACAGCAAAAGTCTCTTTCAGTCTAAAAGTTATTCAAAATGAGAATTTTACCAATTAACAAATTCATTGCAAGGATTTAAATGTCTCCAAAACCTTGAAGGTCACCAGCATCTTCATATTAAAATGATGGCCAAGGGCAATGGTAACAATGATTTACCACTAGTCAAAACTAACAAAAAAAAAGGAGGAAGAAAAACACACTTAAAATGAAGACAGAAATTAATGGAGATGCACTACCTATACACTTATCTAACAGAACTAAGAATGCATAGGTAGCTTGTGTATAAGCATTTTACAAGAACCATTTAAGTAAGTAATAAACAGCCAGAAATGTAATCAAAAAATTATACCAGATAAATTATGTTGTTAGGGTATACATCACCAATTCAGTCAATGCAGGGGCTGAACTATAAATCTACTAACTTTCAAGCTTTATTTTTATGCTGTTCAAGTGTTTTGAAAAGTTCATCAGCATCATCACTAGTCTTCACTCTTAGCAGCACAGTCACTGGTGGTGGTTTGCTTTCAGGAGTTGGAATGCAGACAACAGCAACATTGTTGGTACCAATTCTCTGAATAGGCAAACTTGACCCTACAATGAAATTTAAAAGGACTCTTCCAAGACTTGTATCCGCGCGAGCAATAAGTTGGGTCTTGCCCCCATCAACTGGTTTCAAAAAGAGATTCCCAATTTGACCTTCAGAATAGGTGTTATTTTGCTTGAAGAACACTTTGCACCTGGAAGGTAAAAGAAGACGTTAGGAAATTTTAAGTGTATATAGTTTTCATGAATATTTGATAGCACAAATTTCTCTATACCTTTTTTTGTAAGTGGCACCTTCCTCATTGACTGGCTTGTGATCAGGCTTGGGTGGAGTGTCCTCTTCAGCATCCTCGTTGTCATCTTTTTTTCTTCTGTTGTGTTGGTACTAGCCACATTTGAAAATGTGAAGGGTTGTTTCCCTGCACCAAATGAGAAACCTGCTGAAGGTGAGGTGGAGTTGCCACTGCCGAAACTAAATGTTGCTGGAGGAGGATTGGTGGTATTTGATGATGTTGCTGAACCGAAACAAAACGATGATGATGGGCTCTGAGAACTAACGCCTGATGATGACGATGCAAATGAACCAAAGCTAAATGTTGCTGTTGTAGCACTACCAGTAGATGAGCCAAATATACTGCTTGTCAATGGTTTCTTGTCTTCACTCAAAGTCTTTGTAGCACTGTTGCCAACCTGAACAACATCTTTGTCTGCAGAAGAATCCTTCTTAGAATCATCAGACAGCTGGTTATCCACTTCTGAGCTAGGTGTGCTTTCACTAGGTTTGCAGTCATCTGTCAAAAAATAGAAATATGAGCTTTGTACATGTTTCATAGCAAATCTCCTTTGACCCTGAGAACAAAGAGGACTGGAGCCTGATTTCTTGGAGATTACCTCTGTTCTGGATGTTAGCAAGATGCTTTTCATAATCTCTAAACACTGGAGTAAGAATGATCAAGGGGTTGCTGGCCACATGAGTGCTAATCCATTTCGAAACACTTTCGTTGAGGCCTTTTAATCTTCGGTGATACTCTTTGTCTGAAAATGATACAAATTAGTAAAATATGAACACAACAATACTGTAGGAGAAAGGTGACTAAGAGTATTACTAACCACTTGACTTTCCAGACACATCTGAAGCGCTATCAACCCCATTCATGGATTTCTTTTCATTGACATCTGTGGTTGGAAATGATGGCTTCGAAGCACTTGAAGAGCTTGTTGAAGTTGCGATGTCAGACTGTGTGTTATTACCATTAGGGGTAGCAGATAAGAAACTAAACAAAGCTTTAGGTGCCGCAGGCTCAGTTCTCTGAAACCCACTGAAGCCCGCAAAGACACTCTTCTCACCATTCTAGAATAAAAAACATTAACAATAAATAACATTTTTTTTTTTTTTGAGAGCAAAGATGGGTACATATGCTTCTACTCAGAAACAGATAACCAAAAGGTAAGGCATACCCCTGAATCTCCCGTAGAGTCACCTCCAGATCCGGCACCTCTGCGTCTAGCGGTGCGGAACTGCCTGTTTTTCAGATCCGCGACCGAAGCTTTCTTGAACACTCCAGCGCTTTCTGGCTCTTCTTCATCGCACCAGTTGTCATGATTTAATTCGGTTGTGGCTGATCTCTTTGACATGTTAGTCTTCTTAGGGTTAGGTAGTTAGGTACCTGGGAACATACAATAACACGGGTAAACTTATCAATCTCAAGAGTTCGCGAATGAGAGCAAGCCCCAAAAATCAAACATACACGCTTACGTACACCTGAACACAACAAGTTTCAAAGGGAAAAGGTTGGACAAGCAAAACTTAACCTAACGCGGAGAAGTTCTGAGCTGCCTCACTTTAGAAGACAACCATTTGATATGAATAGCTCACCTGAACACCGAACAAAGTTTCCTCGATTACCCAAGCTATTATTACGAGGCGACGGTCCGGGAGAGGACAAACACAGTATTTCTTGAAAATGCTACGCCGTGCCGTGCGGTAGATAGGAACTCGTTTCTCGCGCACACGACGAGAATGGGATGGGGGGATGGGGGAGAGCGGAGGGGCGGGGCGAGGAAGGGGGAAGGATTTCGGTACAGGTTGCCAAAACTCAAATAGACACATTGGCCAGTTCATAGAATCTTGGTAAAGGCAGAACTCGAAAAATGACCGAACGGCTGGAGGGATATCAATGTATTTACAACGTTTCCAATGTAAGGTGGGATTTTGTTTACAGTCTGTTTTTATTGCAGAATTTTATTTTGATTTTGAAACACTGGCGTTCTGGGCTGCTACATTTCTTTTGTTCGGTGGGAGACTCAACCAAGTTCAAAATCTTCTTCTTGATGAGGAGAGGCTGCGAGGACAAGCTTATGCGCAATGGCAGAAGGCTAGCCATGCAATGAATGAGGAACAAATGCTGCATGAAGGTTGGAATAAAAGATGATGCAGTTTAAGAGCAGCTCAGTTCAATGGTTCGATATCGTGTCTCCATGATCAGAGATGCCTCCGTGCTTGTTTGGCTTTTGGGCGCTAGTATCGCGGTGCATGCTGGGATCCAAGGCAGCCAATGGGATTGCTTCAATCGAATCTCGCCTCTCTCCTTCTCCCCCTCTCCATCATCGCTCTACTGTCGGTGTTTGTTTATTTAGGTCTTCTGATTGCCTTTGTCTTGTCGATCTAGTAATGCAAATCCGTGTCTGCAGCATATGGTCTTTCTCTGGCGACTCTTCAGTTTGTCACTGGATGGTGACAGGGACGGTGGTGCGTTTGCCGTCCTCACTGGAATCTGACAACTGACCTTCGCCCCCCAACCGGGAAAGGAAAAGCGAGTGCACCCTGCAGCCTGCGCCTGCACCGGTGTGGTCTGTCAACCTGAACAACCACCATGCATATGACATTCTGGTTCTCTCCAGATCTGGGGAATTTTTTGTTTGACGGTTATGTTGTCCAGACTACTCGAGGTAAGCATAACTCAAACTGTTTCAAGAAGGAAAGATTTACTTTGCAGTGTCGTCTTAAAAGATTTCTTATTGAGTCAATTGGGCTAGACACTTTCGACAAGGCCTGTTTTTAACAGCTGTGCTGTAGCGAAGGAGAATGATCTACTTAGACTGGCTTACACTACCACTCAATTTGCATTGTCCACAACACTGGCTAACTTTGTTATTTGTGAATTCTGTTGCAGCATTTATCGCAACTTGTGCTGGATTAGGTGCTATGGCTGTTTTACTAGAGTTTTTTAAATTTTGGAAGATGAATTCCAAGAAGAAAATAGCCTTTAGTCAAATGTCTAATGGACATAATGGAGGAAGTGAGACGTCTGCCCTCCTGACTGGATCACAACTGAAAACAAATGTGGAAAGGTATGCATGAGTGTTGTACTGATTCTGACCATCCAAAGGACGAAGTTTTGTACGCCTCCTTTTTATTTCCTGCCATTTATTTCAGGATCCTGAATGTTGGCACCGAAGTTTTGGTGTACTTTACCCAAGAATCCCTCAACTGGATTGTTATGCTGGCTATCATGGGATATAATGGATACATTTTCCTATCAGTCTTGATGGGGGCAGGGCTGGGTTATGCTATTTTTGGTGAATCTATGGCTCATGCTAAAATACAAAGTGTAAAAATGAAAGCTGCTATGATAGCTTGTGGTGATTGTCAAAGTAAGTAATGCACATTAATGTCATTCCTCCAGACTGGTTTAAATCCTGAATATCAACTATTTTGTATTTATTTTCAGTCAAAGATGAATTAGAAGACAGTAACCCAGGACAGTCAGATCCTCCAAGCAACACCCCTCCGATACCCTCATTTTCAGGTTCCATCAGTCGCAATGAACCTCAGGTTTGAAACAAGAACTTCTATGAATGATTCGAAAGTCACACTGACTTTAATTTTGCTTTAATGTTTGTAGTGGGTCATAGTAACTTTTGAATCTTCTCTTGAATCATGTCTGGATGAGTGCCAAAGCTATTCTCTTGGGGAATCCCTTCTCTCAGGTTTATGACCTCGTTAACTTTTTATACTTTTTTAAGGAAAAAGGAAATTTATTTCCTTCTCTCATATTGTAACAGTAAACTGTGATTCTAAATACTTTACAACCATTAATTAGGTTTGTATATCGGTATGAATTTTTTTTTTCAATCTAATCTAGTTTTGTAGGATAGTATTTTCCTTTGTTATAATCTCAAATGAAATGTTTTTATATATGTTGCGTGAAGTTTTTAAAACTGAAAATTCTAAGCTAGTCACTTTTGTTCTCGGGCCTCTTTACTCAGATAAACTTGATCTTGGAGAAAGTTGGTTTCCGAGATTGTGATTTTTCTGCCCTTCCCTGTGTCAAAGGCCTATTTAAGCCTGTTAGAACAACTCTGTGGAACAGGGAGGAATTAAATGATAATTTGTATGAAATATTTGTAATAAACAAGGAACAGTACAATACACACTTCGCTTCATGTTAACACATGACCCTGACCAAAAAAGTAATAAGTAAAGTAAACTTACAAACAAAAATCATATGCTTTATACAAAATTATAGGAAAGCTTACAGTGATAACGTTAGTCAATTTCCAGTCATACAAATACGTATTAACTTTCCTTGAATGTCAAGTAATTCAAATGACGCACAGCACAACAATTAAATAGGATCTTTGTAACAGATATAATGCTTTAAATGACATCAGTCAAATATTTTCAACAAATTTTGAAGTGAACATGAAAAAAGAATTTAATTTGACAGAATCAGTCTGAATCTGAGAACTCTTCATCACCAATATCTAATTCCTCTACATCCTTAAATAGATCTTCATCAACCTCAACTTTTACATTATCATCATCAAATGGTTTGGAGTCTGTAAAAATAGATTAGATTATAGTACTACATAGTATAAATCTTAAGCTGATAATATATATCTACAATTTATTCCATCCTCACCTTCAGAATCCTCTAGGAATTTCAAGTCTGATTCTATAAGTGTTTTGTCTACCATGAACATCTCTCTCCCTGTGAGTTTTCCTGTATCTTTTTGTCTAGAAGCTTTTAAGTGAGCGAATTCTGCATCAAACTTAGCTTTCCATGCATAGAATGTTTCTGGGTTGACCAGAGTACCTTCAAATCGTTTCTGAAACAAAGACAAAGAATTGTAAGTAAGGTACAGAATAACATCAACCGAACAGTTCCATTTCAGCCTTACATGCTCCGCCTCTTCTTCCTCTCTCAGCCTTCTCTCTCTTTCGTCTTCTGCAGATTTCTTTGCATTATCCCAAGTCGATGATAACCATTCTTGTGCAGCTGATACTAAGGTAAACACCATGACCTCACCCAGAATACTTTCAGCCTAAAACAAATTAGAAAAAATACCTCTGTTTCAATAAGGGAGGGTTATTTTAATGGGTGATGACAAAGTCAAAAATAAGTATCATAGTCATGCAATTCTGCAAGACAGTCCCATTCTGGTTGAAATAAGAGTTGCAGTTCATTGGAACTTGCTTTTGCTAAATTATTGGGACCAATGTATAAAGGGCAGTGAGAGCAAACCTGTTCAATGAGGTGATCCTTTAATCGTATTTCATCTTCATCTCCAAAATGCTCCATATCCTCTATCTCAATTTCTGGAGGTTCTTCAGGATACCTTTCTGTGTATGTAAATTTGAGCGTGCAGGCATACCCTGTCCCAGCTTCACCATCATACTCTTCTGACTTCACTGGAATTTGGAACTTGATAGGAGCCGTCCTGGACAGCACTGCGGAGTAAAAGGAAAAGGTAGTAACAGAGGTCTGGTACTTCTTGAGAAGAAGCGGAGAGGACTTGAATCATAAATGATTCCAACGTCGTCTTGACATGAAGAGTTGTGTGCAGAATGGAACAATTGATCCGGGTAAATTTGAATCATGACCAACCAAATAAATACAATGAGTGACACAAGTATACATAATTATGTATTCATACACAAAATAAACACGAAACGTGCAAAACTACCATGGGAAATGAGCCGGATGGTATTAGGTTAAGTTACCCACCCTCCAGTTCCTCTGAGTAGATTGATTCCAAAGCCTCGAATTCATTGTTTTGTTCCTCTTGGTAGTTCATTTTTGTGATATAAATTAGTGAGCAGCTTCACAGCTGGTGACACGTTTAAGTATCCCCAGAAATGCCGTAACTAGATTTTTGCAAACATTTAACGTGTACAGCCACACAACCGACATTGAACAGCTGAACGGCGTGAGGTTGTACTTAGCACCAACACCCTTTTCAATTAGGTTTAACTGTGTTGGTTTGTTTGTGAGAATTGCAAACTGAAAGTTAAGACGCTTTGCAAGGAAGTCGAGACAAAGCGTTTTGTTTGGTTGTTGTCGGTTTACTGCAATGAGCTCAAGTTATTGACGTGGTATATAACTTTCTTAGGTTGGCACTGGATGTGGGGTTTTACCGCAGTGCGTTCAAAGGTCCAGAGAGCGCAGTCAGCCCACGCGACACTCATGTCGGATGGGATGCCTATCCCATTGACCCACAGCGTCAAACTGGCCTGGTTTCTTTTGTGGTTGAAATCAGAATTCATAATCTTTTCCATCTTGATGTAAGTAAGGATGTGTCAAAGGATCCAAGGGGAAAAAAATCCAACGATGAGTGAGGTTTTACAAATACAAGATTTTATTCAACATGTCCCTCATGCACAATATGTACACAAAATCTTGATTGGTAATGTAATGAAATAATACTAAAGCACAGATCAAGAAGTCAAAGTTATTCTTGAACCAATCTAGAGCTATAAACCTCTACGGCTGTCCTGTGCAAAGCAGAGGAGGATGTTGTCCCATTGATTGAGGCACGGCAAGCTTGCCCAGAAGTTCTCTCCACTTCTCTTAGACAGCATTTTTCACAACAATTTTAGTATTAAAAATATTTGCAAGTGAGGATTTTATACTCAAAGTTAAACATCAGATAACAAGTTTCGCACATGTCATGACACCACTTACGTTGGGACATTCAGACTTATCAAAACGTAAAATAAAAATTACATAACAATGTCAATTACAAAAGAAAAAATACTTAGTGATGCAATGAACTGTACATTCAAATATGCTGCAAACACACAGCGAAAACAATCACTATCCTGAGTATACTGGAAGCAACGACAACGACAAATATAGTGTTGATACTGAGCGCCAGAAAACTAATACCCGGTATCATACTGCTAGAAACACTTATGTAAGTATACATTTTAACAGTTGTCAGCAAGGTACACTTTCACTTTCCTTTTTCAGAAGCACACAACATTCACTCTAGCAACATGTTCCAATAATAATACATTGTATTGCGAAAAATAAATTACCATTTCACACAAAAATATATAAAATAAAAACATGAAATAAAATCACTATGAACTAAAGGATGATAGTTCTCAGTTGGGACAAAAGGTGCAGCAGAAAAAAAACAACCCAAAGGTTGTCAATCCATCAGCTGCTCTTTGGCAGTGCTGATCCAGAATAATCTATGGATCCCATAAACAATGGCATTTTGGAAAGGAAAATATAACATTTATACTGCATTAACTTATTCTAACTTAGTGGAATATGATACATTTGGGAATTGTATACATTTTACATACAAACAATCCAAACACACCCTGCAGTTTGTTGGTATGTTATACTAAGAACATTCATTTGATTCATACCAAAATCTAACACGAAGGTGCTATGGTAAACATCTGACTACATTACACACAGACAAGTACAACGCACAACCTGCATGGTTGGCTGGTTCAACAGAACAAATAAGTTAAAAAGTTCAGGAAATTAACAATTCTTAAGTGGAATATGACAGTTTGCTCTAACTAAAACTGGCTCAACACTTCATACACTACACTAAAACAACGTGCCACGGCAAAGGCCGGACTTGGTTCCCAGAGCAGTCAAAGAGGAGGAAATTAAGAGCCTGAGGTAATCAGGCCATAAACATGAAATGGTATACAACACATTGCCCTGTTTGTTTTCTCACTGGCAAAATAACTTGCATAAACTACAGCCAATTAATTCAAAGCGGCTACAACCGTCCCAGCAGGTGGTCTGGCAATAAGTCACTTTGTTGTCTGGAGTCCTGAGGTGGCTCGTTGTCATACTGGTCTTCATCTGAAGAGTGGCTGTCCTGGTCGTCCTCACTGCCACCGCCCATCGTGAGCCCTTGGTCGTCGCGTTCCTGGTTCATGTCCTGGTTCATGTCGTGGTCCATGTCGTGGTCTTCTTCCTGATCGTTGTCTTGGTCGATGTCGTGGTGGTCTCTCAGCTGGTTCCGTTCGTTTTCCTGGCCTCGGTGTCCTTCCACGTCTCGATCCTCCTCGTCGTCCAAGTGCCGGTCCCGATCCTCATCGTGTTCGTTGTCGGAGTGGTCTCGGTCTCGATTCCGGTCAGGTTGAAGGCCGTTGTTTATACTGTAGCGAGCTGGAATCAAACATGAACACGTTTCAATGAGAATAACAGCCAAGTTACTTGAAATTTTAACCATAGGTAGTAAAAGGAAAGAATTATTACCTTGACTGAGGTCCACAAGAGCGTCACCATGGTTGCTGCCATCGCCACTGCCTCCTGATTCTGCATCATACCGTAACTTGTCCAAAGAGTCATTGCTTAGGTCCGTTTCCAAAGGTTCCATTTTGACCTACAAGACATAAAAGTAATGAAATCAACCAGACTAAAATAGAAGTTTGTAAAATAGCTCAGTGTAGAGAGATTGTTACTAACAGGGGGGCTGGCAGGTGGTGAGTGTTTCATACGTTGGGCTGGTGGTCCTTCATCCATCTGTATCGGTCGCTGTAAGAGCTGCTCAGGCCTGACATTGATACGAGGTGGCATGCTAGATTGTGCAGGAGCAGCAGGTCCAGACTGACGTTGTTGTGGAGGTTTCGGATGGATTCTGGGACGGCCTACAGGATTCCGAGGTAATTCAGCCTGCTAAAAATAAATTAAGGAGTAGGTTAGAAAAAAATAATTTCATGATCAGGTTGAGGCATAGTATAAAACTGCTCCAATATTGAACTCACATCTGGCATGGTCCGTTGTCGTTTCCTTCGTCTCTCCTCAAACCCTCTCTGTGAATCTCCATCGTGTGAATTTGTTGCTGGGCCAGCCAAACCTGGAAATAAAATAAAAAATTATAATTGTAAAGAATTTTTAAAAATAATTGAGTAAATTGGAATGGAATATCTTAAAACGAGAATGAACACATAGTAAAAGTACCTTTAATTTGGAGTGCTTCAGCAGCAGCCAATAGGGAAGGAAGCTTGTCTTGGGTAACATTCACTTCACCCCTGTACATGAAGTCGACTAACGCTTGAACCTCCCAGAAGCGAAGGTCCTTCATTAGGACAATAGGGTGTTGGCAGGGGTTCTGACTTAGAAGCTCTTCGAAATATGAACTGCACGCAGAAAGCATCACCTAAGGACAAACCACATCCAACGATGAGAAACAATACCAAAACAGCAGCTGTTACAGCCAACAGGTGCACTGATTAATATTGACGTCTGGCAGGCAACTGACAATTAGCAGTCTGCCACCAGTCCAGACGACAACACCTGCAGAGCACATACTCGAATGAAAGCATAAGACACAGACAGCACGGCCTCACCTTGTGACACTTGATGCTGTGGCCCTCGCACGCCAGCGTCACGTCCACGAACTGCTCGTTGTTGAGGAGGGACGGGAAGGTGGCCTGCATGTTGGAGTGGTAGCTGTTCCAGCGAAGGCACACCTCGGGCGGCGGCGCCGCGGCCTGGGGCGGCAGCACGGGCGACGGGGGCCGCATGGGCGCCGGCGCCGAGCGTCGGGGCGGGGGCAACTGTTGGGCGTGGACGCTGCTCGCGGGGTGGCCGGCCGGGAGCCCCGCCGGGTGTCCGGGGGGCGTCGACATGGACGCGGGGTGGCCGGCGGACTGGGGCATGGCGGGCTGCGGGTGGCTGCTCGGCGACGGCCGTTCCCGGGGAGACGCCGCGGCCATGGGCTCCCGCTTCACGTCCACCTGCTTGGGCTGCGCGGGGGGGCGCCCCACCGACGCCGACGGCTGGGGCTGGGGACTGCCATCCGGAGCTATCACCCCCGGTTGAGGTGGCACTGCCAAAAGAGAAGGAAAAAGGACATTAGTTCACTTCCACTCATTTCATGCACACAGTCTCACATTCACACAAATACATTCACTCTATCAAGATTCGGCATCGGCTCAAGTGCGTGTAACAAGGGCAATACTTGAATGCAGCCAAGTCACTGAACGGATAGGCTCTTCACTAAGTATAAGGCCTTAAAACTGGGTTCAGCAAATAGCGCCTCACTTCGCATTGCTTCACCTGGACGACAACCCGGCATACCTTGCAGCACACCACCCCCCTGTGCGCCCTGTGGGCCCGTGGCACCAAGGTTGCCTGGTGCCACAAACAACCCTTCCACCTTCCGCCTCAGAGTCGCTCGGGGAATGTTGTAAAGTTTAGCGGCAGCATTCAGTCCCATGAGACCGCGGCGGTACGACGTGATGGCTGCGAGCATCTGCTCCTGCGTGTACTGTCCATAGCAACCGCGTTTCAACCTGATTCACACAATAACTTTCAGGAACTAGCACAATTCAAACGAGGATAAAACAAAAGAGGAAGGGGTGAAAAAATATCATGAGTAGAAAAAGGGGGATGTGGGAGAGGCAACAGGAAGCAAGGAGGAGGGGGAGGAGGAGGGGAGGGGAGGATGGATCGGCATGGGCCTGGGAAGCAGACGCCGCATTTCAATGGCTATGGTCAGAGCAAAATAACGCTGCCTAATTTCAATGGTCGTGAAATTAAAACGGCACACAATCGAAGGCGCTGGTGAAATTATTCAGAAAATGACAAGTGGTAAACTGAGCACGTCAGTTTGTCACGGCAGTGCCCAAATCAAACGTTTCAAAACAAACGCGCTCAAAAGCAAAGACCAAGACGTTCTCATTTTCACCAGTGGCACGACTAAAGCCATCGGGCCCCGACCTGGCCAAACGAAAAGCGGCTCTGCGACCGCCAACTAACGGTCCGATCCGAGGAGCATTTGGACAGCCCGGCCCACTCAGTGCGACACTCACCTCTTGCTCGCAGGCGAGATCGAGTACACATCTAGCGGCTCCAGTGAGGAGGCTGCTACATGCTCGTCCATCATCGCCTCGCCCGTTCCTAGACCTTGCAAGACGCGCACGCACCGACTAGGCAGCGCAGCTAGCACTGGACTGGACTGGCTCAAAGCTCTGCTCCGCCCGGAACCTCGAGCTGCCTCGCTCCGAACGGGAAGAAGGTTTGCAGCACCAGCACCCCGGTCGACCCTCCGCAGCCCTCGACCCTCCTGCGGCTGCGTTCTCCGTTTCGGGCCAGGCGTCGGCCGGGCGGCGGGGCCGGGCTGGGATGTGCGGGCCAAAAAATTGAACCATCCGCATGCGATCCTCTTTGGCTGCCTGGGCTGCCTGCCCGGTCTGGCCGCCTGAGGGGCCGGGCGGTTCCTCCGCATCCCTCGCCTCGAGTAGGCAGGCACGACCGGGCCGACCGGGCTGGCAGGCACCCGGAGGACGAGAGCGGGTGGGGGTAGCAGGCCGAGGTTCGCACGCCTAGCGGCCTGGCCAAGCTGGCTTCGTCAAAACGGGGATGAAGGTTGGGTGGTTGGCTGCTCGGCCGGCCCGCGTGGCGTGGCGTGCACAGGCACAGGCCCGGGCCAGCCTACCCTGCCTCTCAATACAATCCGCTACAAGATCTGCACCCTCCTCCCCCCTTCCTCCTCCGTTTCTTTCTCTCTTCCCTCGATTTTTCCTCCCCTACTTCACTTACTTCCACTCCCCTTCCCCGCCTACCCTCTTTCTTTCGCTCCGACTTTGTTCCTTGCAGTAACCACGGCCGGCTCCAAAAATGTTGCTGGCGACTCGGCGGCCGCGCGGCCGCTCTAGGAGGTACCCTGGCGACCCTGGCGAGGGGGAGAGGATGGGGATGATGACCACCCCGAGGGTGCCGACGGTTGCACAAGACCGCCCTCCCCGGTAGGCCAGGCTGAGTACGCAGTACGCAGCGTACGTGACCCTGGCGACAAAAATGCATATCCACCGGGCGGCAAGGGCGGTCACCAAGACCACCAGCGTGCCCGGTGCCCGGAGGGGAGGCACGCCGCAGCGCACCGCGTGACGACACTGTCACACCGAGTGTGGAAAGGAGACTTGGTGTCACAAACCCCTTCCACAGCACTAGGGCGACACGGGGGCGGCATCCTTGGAAACTATTTTCTTACGTCATCAATTCACGTCGGCGATAAGCGCGCCAATAAGACGCCAGCAGCAGACGACGCAGATGACCAAACACTTCCGGTGTGGGGAGTTTAAAAGCCACAAGGCGCACTCTGGGGAAAGGAGGGGGCGGGCGGAGCGGCCGTGAATGAAATGCCCACACCCACACACTGCAAAGTTAACACTCACGCACACAGCCACATTCACACACTAGTAGCAGACGACACTACATACATGATATTTTTCGTATGAAGCCTCCGGTCAAGTTCCTCATGGGCTTCATGCCGAAGTGGCGGCCGACGTGCACCCTGAGGTTGGTGGTGCCGTGGTACGTCATGACGCGGCCGCAGTAGTTGCACCTGACGAGGTTATCCGCGAGGCGGGAGCAGAAGCGCCACACGTCAGACACCATAACGGCGGCCGTTCAAACCGCGCGGGGCGGTGTCGCTGTCGGGGAACGGGCCGAAGGGCTGTGGCCGCGCGCTTAGCGCTTACACCGTGTCACTCGGTCACTTCGTCACTTTGTCACTTCACTGCACCGCGTCGGCCGAGTGGCTATCCGTGTGCCCGTCGGTCACGCCGGTCACGCCGCGAAGGCCGGAGGCACCAGAGGCCCGGGTCCGCGCTCCGCACATTGGTCCACCAGCGAACTCAACTAACTAGCGGCACCGCACTGCACTGCACACCACGGCGTACTCGGACCAGCGCAGCGCAGCGACCGGCCGGGACTCGGACTCGGAATCCCAGCACAGCGCGCAGCACGGCCGTGCCACAGGCCAGCAGCAGCCAGCAGGCCGCAGCGCACTCGGGGACTCGGGTGGGTAGGGCGGTCCAACACAACACACTGCCACGGCTCGGCTCGGATCGCCTCGTCTCCACTCGTCACTCGGCCGGCTCGGCTCGGCTCCACTCGGATCGGTCGCGCGGAGTGGCGCGCGCTACGCTACGGCAGCGTGTTGCAACCACTACGTGCACTACGTCGAGGAGGTCGCGCAGGACGAGTCCGCCTTCAACACCGCGTCGCCGCACCGCACCGCGTCGCCGACAGGCCGACAGTCCTGCGGCAAGTCAGCACGCTCCTCTCTCCTCTGGTCCGTGCCGTCGTGGTGCCGCGCTGGTACTGCCGCCACCACGCGGCGGACGGGGCGTAGCGCGGGACGGGGCGCGGCGGGGGAAGGCGCGGGGCGGCGGGGCGGCGCGGCGGGGTGGGCGCAAGCCTCGGCGCAAGCGGCTCTGCCTGCCGAAGAGGGCTGCCAAGCAGGGGAGGCTCGGAGGCTCAGGCGGCTCGGCTCGACACGAGTAGCGTAGCTACGCCGCGCCGGGGAGGGGAGGGGAGGGGCGCGAGGGGCAGGTACTTGGGGGGTACTTTCCCGATCAATACCCGTCCGGGAGGGGAACCAGGGGAACGAAACGCCAGGCCACACAAAAACTGGGTCTAAATTGGGTCTGGCTGCGGGGAGGGGCGCGGCGCGGGGTGGCGGGCGGGGCCGGCCGGGAGGGAGTAGGCTCGGAAGGCGGTCTAAGCACTCCGCGTCGCCGTCGCGTAGCGCTGTAACGGAGGGGGAAGCCAGAAGGGGAGGTACCGAGCACCAGTCGAACAGCACAGGGGCGACGGCGACAGCCAGCCCTACAGATTCTAGCTCCGGGCAGACAAGGCTGGCGGCGAGGCTGGGCGAGGCTGGCAGCCACCGGGGGTAGCAGGGGTGCTCGCCAGCCTCGGCCTCAGCCTCGGCCTCAGCCTCGGCCTCAGCCTCGGCTGGCCGTGTAGCAAAGGAAGGCTCGGGGAAGTTCAGGCGGTGATCGAGTGACAGCTTGACTGGCGGATCGGCCGCGGCGAGGCAGGAGCAAGGCAGGAGCAAGGCAGCACTTAGCCCCCGGACTGAGAGGCCCGGGCGGGGCCGCAGCGCCGCAGCATCCCGTCGATCCACGTCCAGCCCGGTCCAGCTCGGCCACGGCCCTCTTGGCCAGCAGCCCCAGCAGCGCGTCAAAAGGCGACAGCGCACGCTGCGGCGTGTTGATGGCGCAAAGAAGGTGCGACCTGACAGCAGGGTGGCGAAGCGTAGCTGTACAGTACAGTACGGCAGGGCCTTCGGGGCCGCGTAGGGCTGCGCCGCCGAAAGCGAGAGTAGTGGAAGCAAGGGCAAGGGAAAGCGGACGAGGAAACGACAGAGAGGATCAGCCCTGCGCAGGGCTGCGCAGCCCTGCGCCGCTACCCCTACCGCAGGGGGTGGCGGGGCTTGGCGGGGCGTGGCGGCGTGGCGGGCAGCCAGAGGGCGCAGGCATCAATGGGACACGCGCGATCCGCGCCTGCGCGCAGGGGCGCACGCGCCCGCAGCCAGCGTACGGCGTGGCGAGGCGGCGAGGCAGCGCGTGGCGGCAGAGGCGAGTTGGGGCGGCTCGCCACGGCCCGGCCGGCATATCGCGGAGCGCGGAGCTACGCGGCCAGAAGCGCGCCACGCAGCCACCACCACCGCCGCCGCAGAGCCATGGCACAGCGTAGCGGGGGCGCGGGGGCCTGTACACCCCCTCTATTTACACAGGGCCCCCTCCGAGGGGCCGCGGAGCCGCGTGCCGTCCAGGGCGGGCAGCCAGCACGCGCCGGCCAAAACAAGGCTAGCCCCTCGGGCCGAGGAAGGGCCGCACTGGACCGCGGCTCCAGAATCATGACGTCCTTTCCGAACCCCCCGCCTTGTCTCAACTTTGACCGACCGACGCCAAGCATGACACAAGTCCGACGGGCGGGGCGGTGGACCGCCGCCCTTCCAGGCCCAGGTCGCCAGGCATAGACGCGCACATTGACGTCCGGGTGGTCATTCCGGCCGCCAAGACGTCCGACGTC